CTTCCATTTTTCTCAAACTTTCGACTCTGATCAAAGTTGAGCCCAATAATCTCCTTATACTTTGAATAAAAATTCCCTCACGGATTGAGAATTAACATTATCTTCAATTCAATCATATTATTTATCCACCACCATTTTATTTTCCCTCCTAGTTAACCCCCTTTTAACAAGAATTTTCTAGTTTGCAATTAATTAAATTTTGCATTGAACAGATTGCAAATGATTAAATGGGGTTAAATATTCCTTTTGTTTAATAAAGTATAAATTAAATTCAATGATAAAATATTGAAAATAAGAACAGAGTAAAAATGATTATTTTATGGAAGAACATTGTCAAAAAATGAATTTAAAATGAATGAGAGTCTTTTTTTAATAACGTGCGATGTTGAAAATATTGAATTGAAATGGTGATGAGTTAACCAGCCCGTTACAGAATGAATAATAATATTAATAATAATAATAATAATAATAATAATAATAATAATAATAATATGTATTTTAATTAATATGGCTGTTCCTGCAGACTCTAATGTATTTTTGAAGATCTTCAAAAACTATCAAAGTACAAGGACCTTGAAATCGAAATCTCAAAAATATGTTGTAGTTGAAACACTCTGATTGACTAAAAAAGGAACCGATAGATTCATTGAAGGTATACTGGTAGCCCATGCCTTAAAAGAATAGAAAAAAATTGTACTCACAAGTACAGCTCACATATTACGAAGAGATTTATCTATGGAAATTATGTGTGATCGTATTTGAGTTTTTTTTGGGGGGGGTGTTTTTAAGGGGGTTGACAAAAATGCTCAATGGAAACTATTATGGATCCATTTCTGACTATAGGTCTCTAGTTGGGACCCGGAAAGAAAAGTGCATATAACAAAAATCCAAGGAAATTGTATGAACACCACTCAGACCCGGTTACGAAGATAGGACCAGTAAAAATTTCATGGGACATCACAATACCCATAGACAGAACAATCAAAGGTATTTGAAAACCAATTGAGAGGATCACGATGAAAAATGAATGAAAGTAACACCATGCCGGACCGACAGATCAGCCTAAAGAAGGGTGTCAGTGTCTTCTATCCTCGGGTCCCCTAGACCCCCCACCCCACGAAGATTGAACAGTTGAGGGACTAATAATGATGACAATTTTACCGCGGCATTACTTTGTTGGTGTACTGCTCTCTTTTCAATCAATGAGTGCCCATACTTTCGGCCTTGTGGCACATCTAAGCTACGCTTGAGAGATCCCTATAATAAGGATATGCTTGATCCTGTGAATATGTTGGTTTTTCAAAAACCTTCTTTTCCCCCAGGTTGTTTTTTGTAAGAGTTACTATAGAATTTCTTATCTGAATACTAGAGTAGCAGTCGACGGATAATGTAACAGAAAGGGGATTAGCAATAGCGAAAGATGTATCCGAGAAAGTAAGCAAAGTATTAAGACAATGGAAAATGTCTTTAGAAACAAACAACAATAAACTACGATGTATATTTTTATATCCTATATGGCAGCGAATGCTGAACAGCGTCCTTACATATTAAGAAAAGACTTCATTTGATGGGGATAATTTTCTTGTGCTAACGATTGCTAAGAATACAGTGGACAGAGCATGTAAATAACGAGGAAGATATGAGAATAATAGGAACTCATATAAGGTTTGCTCACCCAAGACCCAAGATCCATTCAAGGTAGAGTTGTAAAGAATGAGTTTGCTGTATGTGCGCAAGAGAACGAAGTAAAAAGTGCAGTTTATGATCTGTAGAATTGATAATGGTTAATCCAAGACTTGAAGAGGTTAAGGACGTAGATATCAGGGATCACTCTTCTAGAGAGTCTATTCCATAAAGTAAACGTTCCTGGAAAGAAGCTGTCTGAGCGAAACTTCCTCCTTATACAAAATGAATACAGTCGACCCGGAGCACATCATATGTCGGGTCCGTGCTAGGAATGTCTGAACCGTTGTCTCGGTGAGAGCTGCCAAGACCGCACTCTCCAGACTTGAGTTCCAAAGCGTTTCCGATCCCTTGTGGATGACGAATTATTCTCTAGCTTTCAGCCTCTCTCCCACACGGGGATGTGACAAGCCTCTTACCGCTACTTTCATGGTAAGTTCTCGGATGAACAACATTCCCTGGTCCTGCCAGGGCAAAACCTTCATGACAAGAACACGCCATGCCACTTACATCGTAGCAAACCACCCACATTGCCTCCAAAATCCGTCGGTGAGAAGCAAGTTCCACTCGAGAATCTTCTTCTCAAGAACAATTGCCATGTGGTATCGACTCCGAACAGTATGTTTTCCCGATCAGTACAATATTAACCTATTCAAAGCTAGGGTTAACCGTTATCTTCCGAATATACACAAATGTATAACCTGTATACAAAAATGGCCTCCAAACGTAACCTTCTACCTCGAGTGGCACCTGGGCCTTGTAAAGGGTGAGTGAAATAAAAAAAAAACTCAGTAGGTCGGAGAGTACAACGGCCGAAATGCTGTGATAAAAACAACACTCTCTATCAATCTCTCCACTTTCTCCCCTCTCACTCTCTCTTTTTACTCTCTATCTATCTATCTCTCCTCTTTCTCCCTATCCCCTCTCTCTATCTCTAGCCCTTTTCCTATCTCTCCCTATACCTCTCACTCTCTCTATTTATCCTTACTCTCCCTCTCTTTCTTTCTCTCTCTATACCTATCTCTAACTCTTTACTTCTCAATCTCTCTCTATCCCTCTCACTCTCTCTCATACTATTCCTTCTCTCTCTTCTTCTCCCTCTCTCTCTATCTATCCCCTCTCTCTCCCCCATACCCCCTCTCTCTCTCTCTCTCTTTCTCGCTCGCTAATCACGAAGCTGTCCGTCGGCCATTGTGAGTTCATCAAGACCCGTCAATACCTAACATAATTTCTCCACGATCATTCGTCCATTTGTCCATCTTGACCAACAACAAAAAGCTGCTTTTTCAAATCCTTCTCCCGTCGTCTCTGGCAGTAATTGGAAACCCTACAAGCTTCAAGAATTTCTTTATTCACTAACGTCTAACTTAAATAGCTCATATATCGAGATGTTGAATCTATTTTTATTCAAATATGAGCCAGTAACTTTCAAGATACGAGCGAACGACCAAATGGACTGTCTCACGTTCAGAGTAACATTTTGAACCTCATATTCACTTTCCTCGGGAGAACGAAAAGATGTCGTTTTAAAATCGTCGCGAGTTCATACAAACAAGCTAGGTCACTTGGAAAGAAAATTAGGTTTATTTGACCCGAATGAAGGTGTAATTATTGGCTGTGAGGAGGTCTTCTTGCTTCTTCCAAATTAACATGCGATGAAACTTATGGAACTAGTCTAAAAATAATGATTTAAGACAATGTCTCTCTTGCAAGTTGATGTGTTTGTAAATCGACGATTCAATTTGCAGACCTTGGTTGTTTTCAAAAAATATATTTGTCAAGCGTATTTCTTAACAGATATCAACTGATTGGAATAGATAGATAGATAGATAAATAGATAGATAGATAGATAGATAGATAGATAGAATAGATAGATAGAAGCAGATTATGATAGATATGAACAGATAGATAGATAGAAGCAGATTATGATAGATATGAACAGATAAGTATAGATAGATAGATAGATAGATAGATAGATAGATAGATGATAGATAGAAGCAGATTATGATAGATAGATAGATAGATAGATAGAAGCAGATTATGATAGATATGAACAGATAAGGATAGATAGATAGATAGAAGCAGATTATGATAGATATGAACAGATAGATAGATAGATAGATAGATAGATAGATAGATAGATAGATAGATAGATAATGAAAGGAATTTAATTAAATACACAAAATCTGTTTTGATTTTAACAATATATGTTTAGAAAAACAATTGCTGTCTAGTATTAATGCCATTTGTGTATTTGGTAGTATGCGATTATATGAGAAGTTTCTTCTCCTATGTGTCATGTCCCTTCAGGTTGTGTGCAATCACGGTTCTCCACCATTTTCCGTCCTTTGTCTCACTTAATAAATATTGTCTTTTTGTTATCACCTAAAAGTTGTTCCCGTATCCACTTGCTTAAACTCGACACGTAGGTTATGCTTTGTTTTCATCTGTCCCTCTTGTCTTCAAACTGTACTGTGAGTATCAAATTTTCCAAGCTCCCTTTCCTCGTTATGTTCCTTAGAAATTTCAACTGAACTGTCTCTTCCTCAGGTTACGTATGAGTATTCTTTTCGTTTCCGTTTTCTCTAAAACCTCGCATATTGGGTTTATGGTATCCTCAGCATCCTTCTGCCGAATAATATTTATTTTGTTTCAAGTCTCTTGAGAAAATTGTAGCAGGACAGATATTCCTTAACAGTCCAGGAGTCTTTTCTTTGTATCTAACGAAATGTTTTTTTTTTCGGATTTTATATTTCCTTATCTCTATGCGTCTTCGGATTTCAGGAAAAAAAAAAAATTTTTTTAAATAAAAAAAAAATGAAAAAAATCCTGTTGTGTGGAATGATCGTTAATCTTTCTTGTTTTAAGACAAATGTCACAAGAATTTGTAATTGCCCGCGCCAAATTTCAGAAACGAACTTATTTTGGCAGGAAACTCTGGTTTCTCAAAGCAGCCGCTTCTCCGTTAGAATCAATAACTTGGAATTTAGATTTTCTTAATACTACACACAGAGTTGCGATAGGCTCTGAATTTCAGAACACAAATTCTTATTTCAGAAAGATCAATTTCCATTAAAGACATTGTCCTACTGGGAAAGTTTTGTGCAACGAAATGGGAAGAATAAGTTGGTTTACTCGCTGAGAAAACGTCTTCGCTTTAATGTAATGAAATTCAGTCAATTTTCTTATTTAAATGGACTAATGTTGAGTCGGGTAATTATGTGGACATTTTCTGTTCAACGACGTCTGAACATAGAAATTTAGAGTCTGAGCCAAAACTAAAATTGAAAAGGTAAGCAACACAAATTGCCAGCAAAATGATCAACCCAACAGTTGGATTGCAAATTGGAGGTACCGAAAAAAAGCAAGTATCTATCTATCTATCTATCTATCTGATGTGGGCCCAAAGTTGTGACCACGGAAGGAAAACACGGAACACGGATTAGGGGTAAGAAAGATATATTAAACAAAAAGGTCACAAAGATAGTGTAAGTGTAAGCGGAGCTTACTATGTGCTAGTGTCCAATATTGGTAGTCGTACGCGGCTGATACTACGGTATTAGAATACTCTCTCTCTCTCTCTCTTTCTCTCTCTCTCTCTCTCTCTCTCTCTTTCCACCTCTTCTCTTAGAGTATTATATCGCATACTTTATATAGTCCAGGAAGAGTCCATGTTGTAGGTATGTTACGGTCTCACTCAACCTATCTATCTGTCATAATGTGTTCATATCTATCTATCTATCTATCTATCTATCTATCTATCTATCATAATGTGTTCATGTTTGTCTATCTATCTATCTATCTATCTATCTATCTATCTATCATAATGTGTTCATGCCTGTCTGTCTATCTATCTATCTATCTATCTATCTATCTATCTATCATAATGTGTTCATGCCTGTCTGTCTATCTATCTATCTATCTATCTATCTATCTATCTATCATAATGTGTTCATGTCTGTCTATATCTAGCTATCATAATGTGTTCATGCCTATCTATCTATCTATCTATCTATCTATCTATCTATCTATCTATCGTCCATTTGCAAACACATCAACTTGCAAGAAAAACATTTTCTTAAAATATTATTTTTTGACTAGTTCCATAATTTCATAGTATGTTAATTTGGAAGAAGCAAAAAGACCTCCTCACAACCAATAATTGCACTTTCATTCGAGTAAAATCAACCTAATTTTCTTTCCAAGTGACCTAGCTTGATTGCTTGACCTTGCGATGATTTTACATCGACATCTTTTCGTTCTCCCGAGGGAAGAGAATATGAAATTCAAAATGTTACTCTGAACGTGAGACAGTTCATTTGGTCGTTCGCTCGTATCTTGAAAGTTACTGGCTCATATTTGAACAAGAATAGATTCAACATCTTGATATGTGAGGTATTTAAGTTAGTCGTTAAGGAATAAAGAAATTCAAAAAAATATATAACTATCTAGGAAGTGTTTTAACAGAGGGTGGAAAATGCGGCACCGAGATCCGAAGGCGTACTGGGATAATGAAATGTTCCTTCCTTCTAAAAGCTAAGCAAAGTATCAAGAAAATTTCGTTTGAAACAAACAAAAGAGTACTGAAGTGTTATGTAATATCTGTCGTCCTGTATCGCACTAAATGCTGGAAATCCTCCTCCCAGACGGAAACGAGACGAAACAACAGATATGTGGTTCTACAGAAGGATCCTGAGAATCTAAAAGAATGTGAACAACGATGGAAACAAAAAGGATCTTTATACTTAAAATAAGAACGAGACACTATTTACATTATTCCGACTATTGTCCTAATCTTTGTCGCCATATTTATTACAACGTTTCGGCCGTTGTACGCTCCGCCCTTCTTCAGGTGGTTGGAATGTCGAAGTGAAGAAGGCCGGAGCGTACATAATACCTCATCTCAGAAATATCGACAGATACTGAAGCTGAACTTTCTAGGAAAAATAATGAAGAAAGTAGGCTCAAAAAATTTAACACACAGGGCGTATTGAAGGCGAGAGGGAAAGATAAAAGCAACATTTAGCGTACCTCGTGAGCATGTATAAATAGTTGACAGAAGAGGGATTAAGAGATATATCAAAACGACAACCCTTACAAAAGACCTAAAATTGGGAAGAGACATGCTTGCCCACATCCCAAAGGGACACGGCCCATAGAAAAAACATTATAAATAGTGATAGCATTAGAATGAAGTCGTCATGTTGACTACTAATTAATCTCACATCTGTATCTATAAAAGGCAGGATGTGTGTGTGTGTGTGTGTGTGTGTGTGTTTGTGTGTGTGTGTAACGAATGCACGGCCGCAATTATCGACGGATTTGCACCAACATTTACATGCACATGCTCCAAGTTAGCGGGAAGGACAAGATCGACTTTGCATTTCCCAACTCCCATCGATAGTGGAAATAATCGATTTTTCATGCTTCTACCGCAGTTTTTATGTAGTTTGCGGCCATTTTCTACTGGCCAGATTGAAGGCCTATAGCTGGCTGCCACGAATAGGCAAGAAGATTCTATTGGCCAGCGTGAGAGCCAACAGCTGACTGACACGAATGTTAACAAGCATGCTCGCATGCAAAAAAATTCGATAGCTGCATTCGTCACAAGTGGGAAAATTTTAAATCTGCATGGCACTTTACTCCAATTGGCTCATTCGCTTGCTTAAACTCAACGTTGATTCTGATTCCGCAGAACTGGGTTTGGTGTGAAAAATATTTTTTGTTAACATTTTTTTCATTCGGTTTTTCCTGTTACGAGTCCTTTTTTTAAAGCTGATCATTTTGTGTTCATTTTGTTTATTTCTTTTTTCGCAACAGATTTAATGTTTAGTATATAGCTTAGAAAAATTCGCAGTGTGAGATAGGCAAGAAGTAAGGCATGTTGCAACATCAGCACGGCAAAGGGCACTCCTTTAAAGGCAAAGGAGGGCAAAAATATTTTAAGTCAAGTGATTGTGATTGCTGTATGTGTCGTACGATTTTTGAATCAACCACGGGCAACGCCGGGCCATGCTGCTAGTTAAACATAATATCTCATTCAATTCCATTGGCCAGTGTGCGTGTGTGGTGCCCGGAGGTTCTCATCTGAACATGCCCCTTACTTTATCCTTCGAGATGTCTAAGAGACTGTTCGCTCACCACTGGGGCGGGTGTTTGCATATATGCGCCATGCAGCTTGTTTCCACGCTTGAAGCCCAGATGCAGCTAGGTCTGTCACGTGATTCGGCCCAAGGTGACTGAAAAGTCACCTCTCTGGAAAATCCTGCTTTTCTGTAGGGTATTGAGTTAAAAAAAATGTCTATTCTGGTATGATCTGTAGTAAGATATGTCATTTTTCTACATACCATATTCCTTCAGGACATTGGAGATCGTGTGTCTCCACAATATTCTATACTTGGTAGATTTTAGTAAATTTTGTATGTTTTCTATCTCTTTCGTCCTGCTAGCCATTTACACAAGCTAGTTAGGTTATACGCTGTTCGCTCCTATCTCGCTTGCAATATGAATATATCACGGTGACTTGGTTTCTGTTAATGATGCTGAATATAAAAAAAATAAATAAGAAGATAATAATGAAATATAATTAAAATAATAGAGAAAGAGAACGAGAGAAAAAACGAAGAAACGAAAGACAGAAAGAAAGAAATGATTTTTTTTGTTTTATTTATTTATTTTTCATTTATTTTTCTTAATTTGAATTTTTTTATTTGCTTATTTATTTATTTATTTATTTATTTTATTTATTTTTCATTTATTCTTTTTATTTATTTTTTATTTTTATTTATTTTTTATTTATTTTTCATTTATTCTTTTTATTAATTTTTTATTTTTATTTTTATTTTTTATTTAGTTTTTTATTTATTTTTAGAAGTACGAATCAAACACAGGATAAGCCTTTCATCTGAGCAAAAGTATTACAACTACAAAGTTCACTTCCAATTGAAAGACAATGAAAATTCAAAACGGAAAAATATAAACTTAGAATGGATTAAAGGAACTGGAAGCATTGAAAACCGACTTTAATATGATTTCAAGATGAACTGAAGGGTTGGTTTTTCATGAATATTCTGCAGGATGAACTCGCATCACGATTTACGATTTATTCGCTTCTTATAATATCTGCTTCTTCTAATACGGTGCTTATTTTAAGATCTGGTATTTTAAAAATAACTGTGATATTTTTAAGAGGCTGACGAACAACGACATTACACAATATAAAATTATTGAATACATTTTTTTTAAGTTAATGTTAGCCAAGTATATAATACTTTGACATTTAACCATGATTCGAGCAGAACTCGCTTTTTAAGGCATCAAAATAAATTTTTAGGCTTTTCATTGAATATGAACTCAACTGTAAAACAATAAATCGAAGTTATTACATAATTCGAAAATAAATTTAAACCATTTATGAATTAATCCAGTGATTTATAATCATCAAAATTGTCCTCAGACCCCAATATTCAATGTGGTCTTAAGGCTAATGTATAGTTGAGCACGTGACCATTTCTCTCTTCATATCTAGGACTGAAAAACGGGCAGGGATTCCTTCATACGATTGATATATGACTGGGCTCTTTTAGTTTATCACATGTTCTTACAGAATTGGTACTAAAACAATGTCGGTGACAATTAACTTTGAAATAAGTGAATGTATAAATAAATTTAAAAAATAGAATGATAATTGTTTAATGATAATGTAAGTCAAGATCTCGAACTTAAGTCAAAATCTCGATGCTTAACGTGAAGTTCGTTTTTTTTTTCTCGCTCATGCGCGTTTTTGTTGAAATAATTGTTTTTTTTTTTTCTCTAATGACGCGGATTCATCAGTCAAATAGGAGTTTTCCAAATTGGCTTACATATTAATTCTTCCGTTGGATTCTCATCTAACCTTTAATCACACGGAAACAAACGCGTACATATATGTGCACACACATACACACAGAGGCACACACAGACAAACGCAGACAGACACACATACACATATATTTATTATAATTTTTTCATACAGACAAAAACAATTTACTCACGACAAAGATGCAACTTCCTTTCGGTACATTTAGTTGCACCTCGACTGGTGAGAAAAAAACTCAAAATATGAAAAAATTGTAATAAATAATTATTGCTCTACTCTCAGTATTGAGCCCTCATTTGAATTAATGCTGTGAACGTTAGAATTTATATATTACTAGCAGTAGAGCCCGGCGTTGCCCGGGGATGTAACAGTAAGGGATAGATCAAGTACCGACCATCATAAAGACTGAAAATAAAATTGACAAAGATTATTGTTTAAGGTTGACGGACATGCATGTCTTAATTAGTTTTTTTTTTTTTACGAATTGGTCAAACTCAAACAAAAACATTGTTTTCAATCGTTATGAGTCTACCGATTGAATAGAATTTTATTATAAACAATTGTCTTATAAATGGAATTTTTAAAGCATTCTGAATGTAAAAATAATAAAAAAAAGTGTGCAAGACAATAAGAAACACTACCTGCCAAAAAAAAAGTGAAGTTTTGTCGAAAGCGGTTGAAAAATGTAGGAAATCCGATCCCATATATAAACGAACACAGACACACACACAAACAACCTGGGTTTTATAATAAGCATAACTCGATATGAGTTGTCCCCCTTTCATTCTCGGGATGCCTCTTAATCGTGTTTTCAAATTGATTTCATGCAAACACAATTGTGTTTTTCCAATTTTTGGCGCTGCCAGAACCACCGCAAGGTAATTTTACGTAGTCCTGTGAAGTTTTGTTGAAATCGGTTGAAAAATGTAGGAAATCTATATATAAACGAACACACACACACACAACCTGAGTTTTATAGTAAGTATGATTTTCGTTGTTATTACATTCGAATCTATCTATCTATCTATCTATCTATCTATCTATATATATATATATATATATATAGAGAGAGAGAGAGAGAGACTGAGAGAGAGGGAACAGATCTTCATCCAAATATCTTTCATTGAATAATATAGACATTTTATGTCTCCTCATTTTTATTCATAGCTGATTTTATTGTTTTTGCTTTTTCTTTTTATTATTAATTACTCGTTTTTTTTTACATATGGAATTGGCTATTAGGGTCGTATTTTCTACCA